TTCGTTAGACACTTGGAAAAGGGAGGACCGTAATGCCAAGGGTGCCCTCACGACCCTGGTTTTCTGTCATGGTACAGAATTGTATTGGCTTTTGCCGCGAACATTCACAAAATACAGTTTTAAGTAAATCCACCCCGTGTTGATTTTATTAAGACTCCCGACCGCTATCCTGACCGTAATAGCATCTTTGTTACACTTTATACCATGAAGTGAGAATGTAAAGACAAGTTATTTCGGTATTGGTTAAAACCAGGTAAATAATACAATCACAATTAATATTGCTAATTTTCGGTTTCTAGTTATTAAGTATGTATCTAGTTTTCAAACTTTTTTTTTAAACGTGCTTTGTACGAAAAACAGAAAAATAAATTAACAATTATATTACAATAATGTGATTGTTGTTAATAACATCATAAAGTTATTTCGCTGCCTTTGTTTCTCTAAAAGTTATTGTTCGTACACTCCATTGGAGTGGGATTGCCGGTCAGGAAGGCGCAAATAAGTGCACGGCAGTTATGCTCGGTCTTCCTGCTGGTCAAATATTTATTTGCAAGAATACAGTCCACGATACACAAAGAACACCGGCACACACAAATAGTACGGGCAAAAGCGGTCGTCGCAGACAACTTCCGCGTAGCCTCGGAGTCGTGGGAGAGGTCTCAAGGAATACTCTCGACCGAATCGAAGGAATACTCGAGTAGTGGCTCGGATACCGGCAAACGCTTTCTTTACTCGCAAAGGTGCTTGAGCAACGTAATTAGCAGCAATAATCTAACGGTACCGCGACGCGCGGCCTTTTAAAGATATCAGCGTGGGAGGTCAGAGTGGGGCGCAATTACTCGCAATTTGAGTTTCGAATCTCGAGCAAATGGCTCGGTGAGGACAGGTCGCGTAACAACGCTTACTAATGGCCACAGGTGTTTATCGTTTTTGCACCATTTGCTGTGCAGCTAGCTTGCGTGGATGCTTTTGTTACCCGGCAACGGTCACCAACCGCCTTCCGAATTTTGTATCTCACAAATCGTTCGAACAGTTATTGAAGAGTAATCGAAAAGAATTCGATTCAAATCTCTGTTGCTTAACAATTCACATTCTAAAAAAATGATGAGTTTGTGTTGATAACGTAGGTAACGATTTTATTAAATTGCACAATCTCGCATGGGAAGTAATTAAGTTATATATTTTTTAGCTTATTGTTTCTGTGGCTGCAAACCGTTTTCATTGCCATTTCGACGTATTCGTTAATGAACGGGATCGCTTGTTCGATAAGTACTATTTCCGTAGGTGACATTTTTGGCAATCCGTAATTATTTTCCACCCCGCCTGGACCGAAATGTAGCTCGTTGGTAAAAAATCGACAACCTGCTATCACGTTCGATCTCACATAAGCATAGTTAACGATGTTCGTAAATCCGCTAAGCCCACCGGCAAGCGTGAGAACTAGTTTAGCAGCAGCTGTTCCAGCAGACAATGTCGGCCCTCTGGATTCGATGTTTGCCATTTCTTTACCCGAGCCGCGAAAAGATTGTAACATTGAATTGTAATTCTATTCGAATAAAAAAATTAAAAAAAATCAATCTCATTACTTAATTTACACAGCTCGTATCATTGCATTTTCAATTGCTTGTAAGATTAATGCCATTATTGTTATTGCAATGGCCAATTTATTTGGTACTGTCAAGTAGTCAAAGTATCCCATGAATAGTATTACAAGTTGTTGTCTCGAAAGGAACTAAAAATCAGGGCCACGCTCACTTTTCTTATTTCGTCTACTTTATACCAGAACCATGAAACGCAAATACATGGTTCTGACACAAAGGGGATGATTTTATAGAGTAGAATTTTTTATTGAAGCTCCAATACAGGACTAATAAATTTATGGTACACGGTTGAATTCAAAATAAATTTCACTTTTTGTGCAAGATCCCCTCATACTTTAAAGAAAAAGATACAAATATTTATATTCTTTAATAATTATGGCTTCTATTATCTTTAATAAAGATAATGGAAACGTACTTCTTTGAGAAAATCTTTTATACTTTTCCTCTTAAAATACTTTATATGAGTCGACGTGTCGATATGATTTGCATCCAAAACTGCACTAGCCATGGAATTGTGTGCATCTACCATGTGGTACTGGTTGTCATAGATTTGAAGTGAGTGATATTTTGTATGAGAGATGAGTGTGACACGAGTGAATGGTCTAAATAGTTTGTATACTTTATGATTGAAGAGGGAACGAAAGAGCGACGTGTGTGAAACTGGTCACTTGTAAGCGAGCATTGAGAGTGAGAAGACGTGTGAGGCAAATCATTGTTATTGTATCGATTTCTTGTAAAATAGTTTTTTACCAACGTCATATAATTATAATAAATACGTTCTAAACATCCACCCACATACCAGATGCACGCGTTTTATCATTCGTAATTGTTTTAAAAGAACAACTGTGTAAATCGATGCCTCGCCTTTTACAATTATACAGACTTTGTATGTCACCTTTGCGATCTGGTAAGAAGCAATCCTAATCCTTGAATTCGGATTTCTTCGCGTTATTAGATTCGACATCCTTTTTTGAGTTTTGGTCATTTTCATTGCACTTTTTGCCTGTGACTTTTCCATTATCGGTTGGAATTTTTGAAATGTTTCGACGACAACGCAATATACATTTCTTGAGGAATTTTAGGAGGCATCGTTCTATTCCAATCATGTTCGATCATTTACCATGCGATACGAGTCATTGACGATAATTTTTTTAAGTTACGATATTAGCTAATAAAAATATCTAATGAACAATTGAACGACTTTGTATAAATAAAACATATTACACAAATTTATACAAATGATAGTGATAACAATTTTTTTAATTTTATTTTTATTTCATTGTTGGTTCTTTGAAGTATGTTTTTTTTTAGTTATTGTTTTTTGGTGAGTTGTTGAATCTAGGGCTATGTGGTCGTAAACGCTTGTTGATTTAAAATTCTCCGTTACTTTCGGCTCGTTCGAGACCCATTGGCGTAACTCGACCCCGCAGTCAGATCAATGAGTTGGTCGCGTAGTTCGCAAGTTTCGTCAATGGTATCCGCCCCGGTTAGTAAATTGTCGACATAAAAGTCCTTCAGGAGGCTTTTCGCGGCTAATGGGAATTGTTCGCCGTCGTCGACTGCTAATTGTTGGAGCGTTCGGGTTGCAAGGAACGGTGCGGATGCTGTGCCATACGTCACCGTGTTCAACTGGTATGTTTTTATGGGACTATTCGCGTTATCGCGCCATAGAATTTTTTGATATTTTCGGTCGTCGGGATGTGCGTCGATTTGTCGGTACATTTTTGTGATGTCCGCAGTCATTACGTATTTGTGCAGTCTGAATCGTAAAATGATGGTAAAAAAAACGTTAGTACTATTGTAAGGTGATCAAGTAAAGCGAAGCGTATCCTAAATGGCCGCCTCTTTGCCCGAAACGCCGACGGTAAACTCGGAATCGTCACCACCGACTCCAGAAATCAAGAAAGCCGAAATTTCCGATGTAGGCCCAGCAATTAACATCACGGTAGGTACAATTATCGACTTGATAGGTCAGCTGAAACTAGTTTCGTGACAAAAACTTAACCTAGCTATACCAATACCGGACCTTCCGCTAACTAGCATTGCGGAGAAAGGAGAAGTCATATTGGCGCATAAAGATAGACAATTACCGGATATGGTATGATGCTCCCAATGATAACCGCTATGTGCTATTCACACATGAGAGTTTGATATCCTTTAATGATATTGATGGCTATATAAAAGCAGTTGTGAATGATGCTCTATCAGAAATCGAGAAAGCGAACAGTTATTTGACGGAACCACCCCGAATTGGCATCGCTAACGAGTTATGCTATAACCCAGAAATGTTAGGTTTGCCTTATTCAGAGACGTGTAAATACGGAATTTTAGATGACAAAATGCGTGCTACCATTCGCAATCTCTGTAAACAAGTGGACTATGGTGCTAATGAACCGGCCCAAGTTCTGTTAACCAGTTAAGTGTGTTTGACGACTATATCCGTCATAGAAGAATGGCAGAACTTTGTGTTATGACGGCTATATCCGTCATGCGTAAAATTTTGTTACAATTTGATATTTAAATTGTAATTCTGGCGAAAACTAAATTATATTCGTTTTTAATATGTTTAGAATGTTTAGGGGTCAGGACGAAATGAAATAAACTAATGAAAATTATAGAGTATTTTCTCTATATAAGCTCAGAACTCGTCCACGATATAAACAAATATCGTATCCCCTCTACTTATCCCCACTGCGTACCGTTAGAACCCAGCATTCGCTGTACCGGCGAGTGTGCCTTCCTATGGGCGGTTCCCCAAGATAGCGGCGCGCTTGATGGTCGGTCGTCGAAGATTGTCAAACGATACGGGTTCAAATTACTAAAGCAACACTAGTGAAATAATACAAATTTTTTATTTTTCCTTTTCTTGTTTTGAAACTTTTAACATGTCTGTGACAGTTTCCTGATTTAACTAAGATCAAGTACAACACAATTTTTATTATTGTTTTTCATAAATTATAATATACATTTCTCCTTTCGTTAAAGTGTAATCCTCATCTGAAAAAAGAAATTGTAATTACATAATTTTCGATTACACTTTAAGTATTATGTATAGCATATATATATATATATATATATATATGTATGTATATGTATAATTAATACTAAATTATACTTTATCTTACCCAAAATTGAAAATTTAAGGAGATCAATGTGCATTTGTGTTGACCGTCGTAATCGAGGTTTGTATTGTTGCAGTCGCTCAAAAATGTATTTTAATTCGTCTCTTTCATGTCTATTGAAAATCTGATTTTCTGCTCCTTCAACGTCCCCGTCTTCAACCCTATCTTCGTCCTCGTTTTCAACCCTATCTTCGTCCTCGTCTTGGTCTCCGTCTTCATCCTTGTCCCCGTGTTCTGCAGGATTTTTCTTCTCCTCTTCGCTACACATTTGCAATAATTACTCGGCTTCTTCTTTACTGACATTATCTTCGGATATTAAAGAAATTAATTCTTGCATTACTCCTAATGCTCTTTCCTCTTCTTCGAAAGTGGTTCTTTTAATAATTTTATTCCACGCATTTCTTATATTGTCGGTTGTTATTTCTTTCCACGACTCTGCAATCATCTCAATGCAATCTCTTATGGAATATATTTTATAAAATTCATTAATGCCTCTCGTGCAATCAATCACTCTCTGCATCAATCTACGACGAAAACTACGTTTCGTCTTTTCAATTACTCCTTGGTCCATTGGTTGAATTAAACATGTAGTATTGGCTGGTAAATATTTAATTCTAAAATTTCGGTCAGTATCAGCCGTCACTTTATGACCAGCGCAATTATCAAGTAATAAAATTACTGGTCCATTAATACCATTTTTTATGTGGTAGTCCCTCACACTTGGTTTGAAGTGATTTTCATACCAATTTGCAAACAAACTTTGGTCCATCCATGCATTGCGTTGCATCTTGAATATCACGGGAAGTTTATTCATAATATTTTTAAAGCCCTTGGCTTTTTAAATTTGTATATTACGAGGGGCATAATTTTATGCGTCCCCGTGGCATTTGAGCATAACGCAATTGTCACTCTTTCCTTCCGTAATTTATATCCATTTACAGATGCTTCATTTCCACCTGCAAGTGTTTTTGTTGGCAAAGCTTTCCACAATAAACCACTTTCATCCATATTATAAATGCAGTCTAAATTTATATTTTCTTCTACAATAAACTTATTAAAGTCTTGTACAAATACATTTGCACCGTCCTCATCAGCGCTGGCTTTTTCACCACAAACATGGACAAGCCTTATATTATGGCGTTCTTTAAATTTTGAGAGCCAGCCTCTACTCACTTTAAAATCGGAAGATATTGCCAAAGTGTTCTTCAGTTCTATGGCTTTTTGCAGAAGAATCGTGTCCGAAAGGATATCGCCGAGTGTTCTTCTTTCAGTGAACCACGCAAGTAAATGTTGCTCCAATTCTTCGTACATTGGCTTCCTAAACCTTTGCCGCTTAGCGCGTCGCTTGTTCTCTTCTGCAAAACGACCAATTATTGCAGAATTGTTTTTTATACGACGAATTGTCGTAGGATGCACGTTAAATTTTGCAGCAACACTTGTAAGGGGTAACGTTTCCAAATCTTTTAACGCGTCCAGCCGTTGTTGCACAGTCAAACTGACTCTCCTTTTAGTTGCCATCCTTTTATTTTAAATTCTCTTAAATGAATCACTAAACTAACTAAATTAAACTAAGTATCAAGGCAGTAATAATTAATAAAAAATTGTAAATAAACTAAGTCTAATTAAAAGTAACTAAAATTTAAGCGAATGTAATTAAAATAAACGAAATGGAAACAAAAAGAAACTATATTTAATTGAAATTAACTAAAACTACACTGAATATAATTATAATAATTAAAAAAAGACACAAAATACACAAACAAGAACTATATGTAATTTAAAATTGAAGGATAAGAAAAACTAAAATTCTGAGCGCACTTTAACTGTCGAAACTCTGGGTCTGAACTGAGACGTGCTTGCAGTTTTCAAACGATTGACCCTCGGAACCTTACAGTCCTTCTTTTTCTATTTTTCTCTGTCTATCTCTTTTCCACACAATTTGAAATTTGCTTACTACTTTATATTTAAATATTTCTATTTGATACTATAGCCGAAATAATTAAAATCACCTTAATTATTCATACGTCATAAAAAAATCAGAATAATTGCAGATTTTATTACTTTCTTCTGAATCTGCCACTAGGAACAATTGTTTTATTTTGCATACGCCTGTTACGGATAACAAATTATAATGTTTGCTTCAACCAAAGATGATGGAATTTCATAAGAAACTCAAACATTAAAAGAAAATTGTACTGCATGTTTAATTGACCTATTATTTATTTGCTGAAATCGTGAGACAACTCAGAGTAAAATAAGTTGGTTAAACAGTTCAAATTCGCAAGTTGTATCTTTTTGAGTCATATCACTATTGCAGTAAACGAGCGATACATACATATATGTACTGAAGTTATGACACGATTTAACTAGTACATATACAATATTAAATCAACAACGAAATTTATCTTTATTTTTGTTCTTCCTTTTTTCGAACTTCATCAACATATTCGTGACACTTTTCTGATTAAAATGACACCAAATACGATATACAATTTAGGTCCTATTTACTAACGCAATAAGAAATCAAAGGCATGCATCGCTCAAGTGACTCCACGTCGGCTGTATCGAAACACAGACGATGTTTACGCGAGCCTATACAGAATCAGTATTTCATTCTGCGACCTCTACCAAGAGAGGTGGAGGTCAGAATTAGAACACCGATTTCGTATAGGCTCGCATAAACATCGGTTCTTTTCTATACTCGCCGCCTCCAGTAGGCGTCAACAAAGTATCAAGAATCGTTTCTCGTCCACGATATAGCCGAGCGTTGAGCCCCGAGAGCGTCGCTTCTATAGAGACAATACGTAATTTGAGTTTGATTTCTAACTTCCTGAGAGCTAACTCGTAAGCACTGCAGTAACACTGGATCTTTGATTATCCCGATTTTCATCTTGACGTGTCATAACCAAAAAAACAAAGTATATTAGATTCTCCATCTGCGATGATGTCCGCGCTGTCTAAACTCTTTTTTTTACCGGTTAGTTTTCGGAGAATTGGATGTTCGCGTTGCATGGCGGCACACCTGAAGTGCAGGCCGCGATTAGAAGCCCCCACTTAGGTTTACGAGCAGCCGCGATATCCGTTCATTGGCTCCTACGCGTGCCACCGCCCCGCCGCTAATATAGATAACAGGAATGTAAACCTGTTCCCATTTGCTTTCTTGTCTTTTGTATTGTATTGTTGTTTGCGGCGTTGACTACTTGCTCATTTGCCGTCTTGTCTTTTGTCATTTGATTTTTGATATCTCGAAGCGACGTAAAGTGCAATGTAAGTATTTCAAGTGCCTAATTATCATAAAGTTATCCAGAAAAGTTTCGTAAACCACTATTTTTTTTATTCTTAGCATATTTTATCCCCAAAATGGGTGATTCCTCCAGTGACGATGACATTATTAGACCTGTACTAAAGCGACAACGGTTGCATATATTTTCGTCTTCTGAGGATGTTAGCGATGAAAGCACCGAGTCTGATAGTGAAACTGACCGCAATGAATCCGATGACACCTATTCGGAAGACAATGAAAGCGACAAAGAAAATGAAGATCCAAATGTGTGAAAAAGTACAGGCGGCAACAGAGAACCATTTGAATTTCTTGCTAATCATGGTCAAAATGAAATTGTACCAAGAAGATTGCGATTCAAGTGTTCATTTTATATAGAACAATATTTAGACGATAATCTTATCAACCTTATAGTGAAAGAAACAAATTTATATGCGGATCAATTTTTGCAAAGTCACCCGAACCTAAAGCCGCGATCAAGAATGAGAAAATGGTATCCAACAACTAATAATGAAATTAGATGTTTTATCGCGATGTTGGTTTTGCAAGGTATTGTAAAGAAGCCAGCACTCCAGATGTACTTTTCGAAAAGGGAAACCATTAGTACACCGTTCTTTGCCAAAATTTTCTCTGTGGACCGATTTTTGCTATTATGCAAATTTCTACATTTTGAAAATAACGAACACCACAATAATATGCAATCGAAAAAGCTTTGGAAAATTAAAACTGTTTTGGAATATGTAGTAGATAAATGTAAATCTTTGTATACTCCAAAAATGGATATCTGCATTGATGAATCGTTGCTAATGTGGAAAGGGCGGTTATCATGGAAGCAATATATACCTTCAAAAAGAAGTCGGTTTGGCATAAAATTTTTCGAGCTATGCGAGAGTGAATCGAGTTATATCTGGAATTTTTATATATATTGTAAGCGTTAAACCGTTTACTGCGAATCTTTATGTTTATCGACGTGCCCGCTAAGTTGCGGGAATATACAGACCGCACTTCTCTCCCCGCGCTGAGAGAGGACATTCCGTTGTAACGGCTCCCGAATTTTCGGGAGCCGAGGACAGTCGTGTAGAACGTTCCGACCAAGTATATTCTTCTCACCACTACTATTTTCAATACACGAGCTACCCATGATTTACTATCATTTTATTCATTTTTCCAACGTTGCCACCTCCCATTCGACCACTTTTGGGCATATTCGGCCACAATATACAGGAAAAGAAACCGATTATGGTCCACAGTATTCAGAATTTAACATTTCAGCTCGTATTGTCCTTCATTTATGTGATGAACTTTTAGAACGTGGATTTAGACTTTATTTAGATAACACTGTTCTACAAATTCAATTTTTTTTTCTGTTTTTCAATATCCACTAGGTGATTCTTGTAGAGCTTTGTACCCTAAACACGAATCTGAAAATGGAATTGCTGTATCACCCTCAGTTTTCGAAAAACACGAGTTTTTGTGAAAACGTACAATTTTGGGCAAAAGCGAGGTATTACGCGAAAATTAAAAACATCAGACAGTTCCAATTAATCTTAAAAGATAGAGGAGAGATTCCTGAATATGCTAACATCGATAGTTATAATATTTTGTGCTTTTGAACGGTTGTAAATGATCGCCAAAGTTTGAAAAAGTGTCGAAGTACATACTTTATACACAATACTTTTGCATATTTACGAAAAGTTGTTTACCTGACACGAAATCTATACACAGGATCTGATTCTGCAGATATTTCTGAAGAAGAAACTGACCAACAGAAGTGTAAAAGCTGTTCTCAATTGTCACAGGTCGAGAAAATGTGTATTGGCAACGCGTGTACGGCGTTTTACCGCCACGCGGCCATCGCTCGCTTATCTCGGCGCGGCAGTGCCGTAGCTACCTACAAGCGAAACTGGTATAATGGTGCAATAGGGTATGCACTCTGTATATAGTATGTTTGATTTTTTTTTTGTAACTTTTATTGCTTAATATATTTGTATACTCTATGATACTAATCACTGAATTATATTTTCAAAATCCATGTAAACTTATCAATGGAATCACTCGAACATGTACGCTTTTCTAAGAAAGATCTGGAGTAAATCCTTGCTATTCACACTTCGCTCTTAGGAATATTATTCCTATTCTGTGAGGCAACCCAACAATAAAATGTTGTTTATTTTTTTACGGCTTTATATTTAAAAAACCATTCATATATATACAATGAACATTGAAATTGTTTAGTAATGGAAATGATCGAGAGATGTTTTGTACAAATCCACAAACAGATTAAAAAATCAAAAATGATAAACATACAGGAATTAGGAGCCTAAGATATTATCGGTGTCGCATCCATTATGCGTAGCTACGACACTGCCGAGCCGAGGTAGGCTAGCGATGGCCGCGTGGCGGTAAAAACGCCGTGCACGCGTTGCAAATACACATTTTCTCGACCTGTGACAATTGAGAACGGATTCTATACTTCTGTTGGACAGTTTCTTCTTCAGAAATGTCTGCAGAATCAGATCCTGTGTATAGATTTCGTGTCAGGTAAACAACTTTTCGTAAATATGCAAAAGTATTGTGTATAAAGTATGTACTTCGACACTTTTTCAAACTTTGGCGATCATTTACAACCGTTCAAAAGCACAAAATATTATAACTATCGATGTTAGCATATTCAGGAATCTCTCCTCTATCTTTTAAGATTAATTGGAACTATCTGATGTTTTTAATTTTCGCGTAATACCTCGTTTTTACCCAAAATTGTACGTTTTCACAAAAACTCGTGTTTTTCGAAAACTGAGGGTGATACAGCAATTCCGTTTACAGATTCGTGTTTAGGGTACGAAGCTCTACAAGAATCACCTAGTGGGTACGGAAAAACTAAATTCGTGTTGAACAGTGTAATTGGTACACTAGTATTCCACTCATAGAGAAACTGTGTGCACATAAAACGGACGTTGTTGGCACAATTCGAAAAAACAGAATTGGCATTTGTAAAGAAGTTAGAGAAACGCGTATCAAAAAAGGCGAATATATTGCAAAATATAAAAACAAGATTATGTTATTGAAATGGCAAGATAATAGGGAAGTTTATCTTGTAAGTAGCGTCCATAACGATAACATTGTAGAGATAGAAAAAAGAAACGTGATAAAAAAAGTACCCGGAGTAGTTGTCGATTACAATAATAAAATGGGTGGAGTAGATGTAAGTGATGGCATAATTATTGCATACTCAACAGCA